GTGCCAGGTGGTGCCTCACTACAGACTATTATCAATCAGCTGGAGTGTAATATCAACAAAGTTTAACATAATATCATATACGCTAACAATAAAATCAAGACAATACTGTGCTTCTTTCTTACTCATGTTGATGTGATTGATTATGGTGAGCAAGTAAATATGTTGCATTAGTGATAAGTCAATCAACAGAAAGTGAGTGCAATCTATCAAGAGTAGGAGCTGCATTCACATGATACCCGATTTGCTCTTTACTCAACGCGAAGTTGGGTGCAGAGCATTGCGGTGAAAACAGCTAGTTAGCTACTGCAGCTGTCATCTGATTGTTTGCGAGTCGAAAAGGTCAGTGGCAATCAAGGTCAAAGTGGAAATTATTTGTAATAACTTCTACCAGTGCGCAGCACCGAGGGTAGCGCTTCCCCCCTAGTCAGGCTCTCTCCATAGGAAACCGACACATCGTAGCAGAGCTGTTTTACCACTTTTCATGTGAATGTAGCAACAAAACACTGCACCCTCTACGGCAAGAGTGATTGAACACATTTTATGGTTATATAAGCACACAACCATAAAATCATAAAAGTAACAATCATTGTGTAAACAAACTAGAAAGAAAAGCTAGCAAGAAACATTTGTTCAGGATTTGACTGAAGTGAGCTACAGGATACAGCAAACAAAGTGTTTTTCTCACATTCTCATTTTTTTAGAATATTCATTTTTTTTTTTTTTACTTAATTGAGAAATAACCTACTTTTGGCAAACGCAGTACTGATTATTAAGCATTCTTATTTTTCCATAAAGGCAGGGCGGTCACATTATTCACTTTTTTTATTTACTTGTTTGTGAAGTGCTTAGAGCACCAGGAAAAGCGCTATATAAATAACATGTATTATTATTAGTATTATAATTCTGAGGTGTGAGCTAATATTGGGAAACCTGCAGTGCCGTTTAGTATGTGAACTACTTACATCCAAAGGAATTTCACAACTTAAACTAACATTAATGCACACCAAACATAGGTTTTCCGTTAACAGAATCAGTAGCATTGTCCAGTATGTGATACAAGACGACAAATAAACTAATTACTCATTTATAAACTGATTATGTTGCAGTGCATTTAACTATGGCAGTGTGGCTCTAACAGCGGATTCCTGCCAATGGCAACGGAATAAAGTCATCTGCTGTCTTTTAACTGTCATCTCTTAACTTTTCCTTTGTGATTTTGTTTTTATTAGCCGTTTGTAACCTAGTGGTCATGTCCCAAAAAGGGATTTATACCAACTATAAAACTATATTAAGTATATGAGACAGCCCACTTAGGCCACCTGGGAAACCAACAGACGACCACAACGTCCCAGGTTCCATTCCAGCCTTGGGCCATTTGTGGCATGTCGTACCCCTCCTCGTCTCCCCACTCGTCTCTGTTTCTACACTGTCAAAGACGGGCAAAAAAAAAGCCACACAAAAAATCATCAGGTTGTGACAGAAACTCACTCTTACTTGGATTCTACGACTGGTATGGCCATTTTTCAAATAGTTTAAAAAACAAGCGATTATTTCATGAATATTGCACATACATTTTCCATGCATTATTCAACAAAAGCAGAAAGAAAGTTCTCTTGACAACTTCCAATCCTTCCAAAGGCACATGCTTGTAATTTGATAACGTACAGTAAACCTATGCTGATTTTGTTCTGTCAGTAAACAAACGGCCAGTGACGCTCTCTAGTGGAAACTTTGAAATTCACATTACAGGCACATTAATTAACATTTCGTTGAAAAATATATATTTGTTGTAGTACTACGACAGACAAAACTACAACTACCGTAGTCGTTTTATGTTTTGAAACGTTTATGAACTTGGACATACTTTCTTTGAGTGAAAGGAACACATTATTAAATGAAATATAGGTCTCACAGAGAGATGGATTGTTATTGTTTTATGTTACGGAGTCAGTTTCGAGACTTCATGAATGTGTTACTGTCACAATTGCTTAGCATTTGAGCAAAATGGAACTACTAAATGAAAAGTATATTATGTGAAACCATAATATAGCATCAGAGACAGCAAAGAGAGACTATTTCCTCTACCTGTGTCACTTGGGTTTCAACACATTTGCAGTGGACTAACAGCAGGTGAACGAGAGCACAGATTATAACTGATTGTTTTCCCAGAGTCAACGTAAATATAGGGCGCATTTTTCACAAGCCACATATATTCAGAGCATTCTGACACTTAGGTGGCGTTTTTATGCATGCCAAATTAGATGAAATTAAACTTAGTTTGAGACAAACAGATTTTTTTATCTCAGCAACACTGAGCATTTATCATCAGTGAAACGGTGTCAACATTTTAAGCTAACTGACTCTCGCTAACACCCTAGCTAACTAATATTCGTAATTCTAAATAGTTTGTTTGATAGGTAAATATCAAAATAAAATAAATATATATTAGACCACATCTATTTAGGAGACAGGAAGTGTACATGTCATACCATTGGCACTAAATATAATGCGCTATCTTTAGTTATAGAACCTCTTTAATAGTATTTGTATAATTTAGCTAATTCCATCCGTTTAGCATTCACAGTAGGTAATACTAGCATTAGCAATATACCGTCACTGTCAATTGTAGTGGCATTGGCCACAGTTCAATTACATAGTCTGACTTTAACAAGAACACAGTGAAAAAGATCAACAGCTTTATAAGGAAGCATAGAAAGATGGGGCCCCATCTTGTTGTCTCACTCAGATGGAGGCGTGTGGCGCAGTGGATAGAGCCTTGGTGTTGGGATCAGGGGGTCACAGGTTCAAATCCCTGGGCAAGACACTTCACCCCAAATTGCTCCTGTGGGGGTTGTCCACAGTATTGAGTATGTAAGTCGCTTTGGATAAAAGCATCTAACAAGTAACATGTAATGTTACTGAGTTGAACTTTTTGTACGGGAAGGGAATGATTTTCTAAGGCATCTGCTTAGGCTCTGGCTACTCAAGAAATGAAAGCATTGTTAGCGTGTGTTCACATCAAACGCTAAGATGTGTGTTTGTGCCTGTGAAAGACATCCTTGGTTGTAGTGTGGGCACCTTTCATCAATAATAAAAATAGCCAGTTGGTTTATATAAACCAAACTTTTGATCTGTCTATCACAATAAATTGTAGCAAACTAGATACAGCCATATGAAGTAAGGCAAGGAAAATATTATCTTCTTGTTTAGTGTGAACATAGCATTATAGCAGCATTTTGGTTATTTGGCTAGCTTGAATGTCACAGGGCACTTGTGTATATATATAAATCAGTGTGACAAAATGTGGGATGAATGGGTACTGCAGACCCACTGTTATCACAAAGTGGAAGCAAGGGAATCAAAACCCAAGATAAAATACTAATTTCTGGTTCTACAAAAAACAAAAGTAACATTCCACTGCAAAAAAGTCCAAGCTTGCTGACTCTTTTTCTCATTACTAAAACGGTCTCACTACCCTGGTATAACAAATATAATGTGACACAATTATATGACTTTGTTTCTAACAATAACACGTTCTTTGAACAGGGATATTTGCCACATTATTTACTCATAAACCTCTATACTTTTTTGCGTGACTAGCCACAATTCTTGAAACTAACAGAAGTAGGAAACACCTCTATGTGACTCTTCGGTAAAATGTATTATCACAGGGCTTGCAGTCCATCATCAGTCCACTAGTCCTTGCACAAACTAGAGATAGAAAGTCTGTTTATTATAGCCACTCTCTCTTCACATTTCATATGCATAGTTCTACACAACCCTTAAAGCTACTATGTGTATCTTTGAAATTGTCCAACTTTGGCGAAACACAAACTCCTCCAATTTCCACCAGGGCACGACCTAAGCCATTAGCAAAAATCTGAAAGATGCTACACATGTTACACACAGTAGCTTTAAACTACTCCTTACATGTACTGGCTACCGTGTTTTTCTAGACTATAATTAACTAGACCATGAGTAGGAGGTCCTATGAACAAATGAAAGTGTATTTTGTTTAAGTTATTTATAATTTATACTGCAGAGGCCTTAATCAACTTGCTTTTGGTACCAAGTGCTTTTGTCTATTTGTTGCAGTACATTATATTGTACCCCATCAGTGTACAATGGAAGGCCTGACAATTGACTAAATGAAAAGACAAAATTGCAGTCACGATCGACGACCACTTTTTTTTTTTTTTTAAAGGCCAGGTGATCGCAGGATGTCCCATGTTGCAAATTGTGATGTCACTATGTTACTGAAGTAAACAAAAGAGTCCAATGGAGGCGTTTCAGAGAGGGGGGGGGGGGGGGGGTGTGGGAGAGAACACATGGTTTTTAGCCTTTGCAGACCATTTACACGCACACATACCTATAGAACACACTACAGGAGAGGAAAACCCCCAAATGCATTATAGGGCCTCTCTAAGGTTTGTCTGACATAAAGCTCTAGACCACTTGGAGATCATGTTATCCTGCTACATATTTCTTAACACATCCCTGACTCAACTGATGAGATAAGTGTTCACTTTCAGATATAATGTAGAGTACATATTCTCAAACGTTACATTTCATTTGATAAAGGCTTTTGCTTTGTCCACCCACATCAGAGAAGATTTAATGTGTCTCTCACTACACATGAGAGTGAAACGGAAGCTAGAACAGGAAGTGCTGTACTCAGTGAGTCAGTTAAAGATGTAGCTGCAGCTCACCTTGAAGATGGATGTGCAATGTGCAGACTGGAGGAAGCTCAAATAATAAGTATCAGCTCAGTTCAATCAACCCTCTGCATGTAACACAGATTCAAACCACATGAATGACATGCAGAACTTTGAACTACACTCATTAATAACTGAATAATATAAAGTCAAACTGCAGGTTAAACCCTCAGGACTTTGTGTAGGCTGTAGATGTTTTCAAAGACTCCCCTGTGTTTTCATGCTAAGAGTGCAGAGGTGGGGAATGAGCTTTAGGGCTTCACTGCACAGTCTGGTATAAGTAACCTCTTTTATAGGCGCTGAGAGGGTAGAAGGTGGCCACCACCAGCTTCCCATCAAAGGTGCGGCCCGTCAGCAGCCTCTGAGCCTCCTTGGAGTCAGATGAGTTGGCGTATTCCACGAACACCTGATAGAGAGACACAGAATAGTAGGTGAATGACTAGGTGATGAGACTGAATCACTTTCTGACCGCTGTCCTGGCTTTGTTTCACATTAAAGTCCACTGGAAGAGTATCAGAGGCAGAGTCATTTCGAGCCAAAGCTGCATTTTATATGGTGTTATTTGTTATACAATGTATAGTTTGGATTTTTGTTCTTGGGTTGTATCGTGTACTTGTTCTTAGTTACTGTATTACATACAGTAGATGTACGTACCGTTTGGAGAAACAGACAGGAATATTAGAAGGACATCAATGTACTGATGTAGGCATCAGCAAATGTATTTTAGACACCTTTGATTTGTTACTTTGTTTGTGTTATTGTGGTAGATCGTTAACTTGCTTGTTCTTTTAGGTGAAAATGTGTAATCTTTTGTTTAAAGAAATCTAGAGGCTTGGAAGAGAAGTTTTTATATTCTAAATAAAACGTACAGCTAAACTAATATTAATGTTTGTACGTGTCTAAAATACATCCATTTGGCTATAGAAAATAACCCCATACAACTGAATATATTCGTCTTTATCTTTCTCTCTTCACACAAACAAGAATCATTTGTTTCCCTGTATTTTGAGAAAACGACTAACAAATTGTGTCATTAAGTATCACTTTCAAGTAAAGCATCCATAACTGCAAGCATTTCTTAACAATCAGCAGTGAATTGGAGAAAATCATTTCCAGCACCAAAGTGCAGTGACATGCAGTTGCACCCAGTGGACAGAGTTAAGTGATCACAGGAGAGAACACTAGGCTCGTCTCAATTGAATATTTCACCTCCTCCTTTCCCTTCCTTTTGTCTTAGCTCCGCCTCCGTAAGACGCGAGCGAGAGACACAAGGAAAACAGAGGAGTCCTCAGGTATTAATTGGGATGTCCTCCAGCGTCACCATAAACAACGCCCTTTACTTCTGGTGCGCGCAGTTTTATCCCCCGTCACTGGACTCACTCCACATCAATCCCTTCAAACCTGGGGTTGGTTTAGTTTCACATTGAAATGATTTCGTCCATCTCTTCCATCTCTTCCATTCATTTCTTTTATTATAGTTTTCTATGTATTATTTTCGGTCCTGTATTGGTTTTTCCAGGTATAATATTTCATTTAAGTTATAATTATAATCATAATAATAATTGATGGATTCATTTCATTATGGTATTTGAGCTTGTTTCAGATCAACTTTTGTATTGAATGTTATTTCATTTGTCCTACAGAAGAGAGACACAAATCACTCAAATATGTATTAGTTATGCTACCCGTATTTGTATATATCCTAAATGTCTGACGTTCTGTGGGTCTACCACACATGCATCAAAAACCACAAGTAAGAACTGTAGGCTAAGTTATTATTTTATAATCAAAACATTATTCCAATTATTACAAACTTTAATGTTTTTATAGAGTATGATCTCCTCATTCGTTTAAGAGATTTCATATATTTTACTCTTAATGAAGCACTTTAAACATTTAATGAAAGATCCTCCTTTAACGGTAAGAACAGCTGCAGTGAGCAGAGGCTGTGCATCTGGGGGCGGAGCTCTGATGCGCGAGTAGTGAAAACACTTCCGCGTAGTCTGCTCTCGTGTATCCTCCCTTTCGTCTCCTCTGGAAGCCTCCTCCCTCACCCCTCCTCGACTCCTCCGTTTGCATTTCAGCTATTGGGACGTCCTTCAACATGGCGTGTCTTGATCGATTTCCGGGTCAAGTCCCGGAGGAGGGGAAGAGAGGAGTTGAGGAGGGACATTGAGATGAACCTACTGTGTCAGTGTAGTAAGGGTACTGCAAATACTGAAGTCAATAAACAGAAGTAAACTGCTAAAAGTCATCTTTATCATACTCAACTACTAATAAGGGGTATATTGCACCCCTTTCCTCATACTTGACCTAAAAAAAGGTTTTCATAAAAGTTGGTATACTAGGACCTCATGAAGTCTGTAGATATGGAAAAAATGGATGATACAAATAAGGCTGTAGTAAATGTTTTTTCTTTCTCCCTCTTAGCAAACTCCATTTTCAGTTTGATTTAATGATCTTTGAAGATTATGGGTTGGCAGATCGGTCTCACCTGTCCTTTTCCTGGGTTCTCTTTGGGGATGAGCAGAGACACCACGGAGCCGTACTTCTGGCACTCCTCTTTCATGTCCTCCAGGATTTCTGGGAGAAACAATGACAGATAATTGGACATACTTTCACTCGTGCTCACCTGGAAGAATCGGGAAATCAACGTCAAAATGAATTTAGTTAGATTAAGTTTAGGAAAGAAATGGTGTACCTTCATACTCTTCTTCATTGTGCAGATGGCTGTCATCAATCAGGTTGAGGAGGCGCAGGACAGGAGTGGGCAGCAGGACCAGGTCCTCAATGTGAGGAGCTGACACACACATTCACACAGGTAAATATCACATGTTACTCTTGGAGGATGTTTATATATTTCAACATACCGAAGGGAATACTGAAGAGCGGGCTCAGCAGGGCAGTTTCAGCAGAGCATCTTTGTTTTGGGTTGTTGAGCAGCATGCTGCGGACAGAAACAAACATTATCAACTCTTCAAACTTTAACTCTTTTCAGGTAACTGTACATTCTTTGTGACTTTTATATTTGTCAGATATGCTAGGTTTTACATATGATCATTGTTTAGCACCTTCTTCAATTGTGATTTCCAAATGTGTTCATATAAGACAGGATGATCCTTTTTACCTTGTTTCTTTTACAAAACTAAATATGCCTGAAAGAAATGCCAATGTAAATGTTGTCAAGAGCTTGTTTCCCCTGTAGTGTTTATTAAATATTAATTTTGAGTGTCTTGTTGAGTTTTCTGCTTATTTTTGTGCTCTTTTCTGTTCTTGTATTCTAAATGATGTCTGTTTTTTATCCGCCTTTCTTTTATTCCCCTTTTTCTTTTGGTTAAGTCCTTAGTTCAAGGGGAAGTCTGTGGTAGTTTTCTAAAATTGTTACAAAATTAATATAGACAAAAGGCGCTTTCACACCGGAGTACTTTTCCCAGAAATAGTTCCGATAGTTCATAGAGAGCAGGGACTTTCCTGGGGAGAAAAAGGTTCCAATTTCTGATTGGCTGGGCGAATTGCAAACCACGCCCCGTAAAACTCTGAAAAGTTTTGTGAAGCCGCCATTCTATTTGCTGGCATTAGCATTAGCATTAGCCCTGCGCACCAAAGGAGAGAGACTAACTTATGGCAACACAAAAGAAAACATGGGAGCGGTGGAGATAAGGAGGTGTCGGCGTTCTGGCGATTTACTTGGATGGCTTCAGTAGAAGCTACTGGGAGTCCCAGCAGCTTCTACTGAAGCCAGTCCCCAACTCCGGGGACTTCCGGCCGGAGACTTCGGGCGGCAGTATACGCTGTGAAGTTGTTTGCGGCCTGCCAGTAAACCCAAAGCAGAAGAAGAAGAGGTGACGTCAGCGGCTTCATTTGCCTAATCCTCCCTCAGGAACTTATTCCGGTGTGAACGCGATCTACTAGATAGTTCCGGAACTAAAGATTTCCGGGGAACTATTCCTGGGAAAAGTACTTGGTGTGAAAGCGTCTATTAGACTGCTTACACAGGAAAGCAGGTCAATACACAGTATAGTTAACAGCACAGTTCACATGTGAAAGCAGTGTGAATTCACGGCTGTATGTGTAGAGCGTACCTTTTGATAAGGTCTCTGAGGTGATAGACAGGGATGGCGGGGCACACCACACTGTTGCTGGCAAAAAGATGGTCGACAATGGAAGCACTGTTTTCCTGAAGAAGAGGAAAACAGGTTGAAGGAACCAAGGCTTCTGCTTGCTCAGATAATGGCAGAGAGTAAGTGCTGGTTGGGGATGGGGGGGGTCACTTAACCCCAATGATCAAAGGTTCAACATAACAAATAATATGTATACATTTAAAGAGGATTTAAAGGGGCCCTATTATATTCATTTTCAGGTTCATATTTGTATTTAGTTATTTATATGCTCTGACTTCAATTCAAAACATATGGAGCTTTGGCAAACTTCCTTTAATAACACAAAGATTTGTATGGAGAAGAGTTTTGTCATACAGTACCTTCCACTTCTGTGAGCGGACGGTCTCTTTGAGTTTCATTCCTGAGAACATCTCCAACAGGATGATGCCCAGGCCCCACATGTCCACAGCGGAGGTGCAGCCCGAGTCCCCCTCCACCTCCACCCCTGCCTGAGCGAGGCTGTTCTGAAGCTCCGCCTCCGGGGCCCGGTACCCGTCTGTCTGGATGTACTTGACATCCTGAAGGAAGAAGTGAAGCAAGAGGTGAGTTAGAAATTCATATATATCACTATCTTTCAATCATCTTTAATCTAGCTCTAAATATTTTTTTATTATTTGTTTTTTTCATCATGCTTTTGGCTTTAGGGCATACATTAAGGAATGTTTCTTGTTTTATTCATATTGCATGTAAAAACATGTGTTGATTTGTAAAACAAAGTACATGTATGAAGAAACTAAGCCAAAGTTCAAATCAACCTTGAAAACTAATCTGTTCAACAAAGCCTTCCAACAATAACTCACTCTCTCCCCCCCCTACTGCAATGTTACACCTCAGCACTTTGAATTGCCTTGTGTTGAAAGGTGCTATATAAATAAACTTGCCTCCATTTCTGCCCTGTTTTATGTTTATGTTTTGATGTCTTGTCCTTATATGTTTCTTTGTAAAGCGACCTTGAGGTTATGAAAGGCGCTATATCAATTCAAGTTATTATTATTAATAAAAAAAAGAAGACAAAAAAAGAAATCCAACATTTATTACCCTAGCTGCTCCTTAAACTGGCCTCAGACTCCCAGGCACCCACCTGGTTTCCCTCTTTGAAGCTGAGTCCGAAGTCGATGAGCTTAAAGCACTCGTCATCGGCGCTCCAGAGGATGTTGCGTGGCTTGAGGTCGGCGTGGACGTAGCCTTCCCTGTGGAGGAAGGCGAGAGCCTCCAGGATGTCTCTGGCACAGTGCTGCACCAGCCACATGGAGTGGCCCTGCTGGGGTCTGACAAAAACATCAAAAATCAAGTTAAACCGAGAGAGCATGCTAAATTAAAGAAAGCTTCACAGTGACTGCACTCACCAGCATAATCTTTCTGAACCTTTTTTTTGTTTGTGATTGCCATTTTACAATTACCTGAATGCCCTTGTCACATTTAAAAAACTGAGTTCAATGTCAGCAGTAACTCAGTCATAAGTTAATAGTCATTGCAACTAGAAATATAATCTACACTATATCAAGTTACTCATTTTACTTTTGTATTCGTGTTAACTCAGTTGCAACTGACTAAGAGCTGCTGATACATGTACTGCCAGGTAAAATTATTGTTTTTGTCAATGGAGTCAGGTGGCTTTGAAGAGAGCATTGAAAAGTACTTAAGTTCCCTGTCGGAAAGAGCCGTCTGACCGCAAAGGTTTTCTAAATATAGCGTACACTTGACTGATATTGTTTTTTAAGTGTGTCTGAAATACGTTTTGCTACTGCCCCAATCAGTTCATTGCTTATCTTTCTGCAGTACTCCTGTCTGTATCTCCATACTGGGGGGTGTGCCAACGTGCTACACTGACTATGAAGTACCTCAAACAACTCCACTTCAACAAATCAGAATGTATCCATTTTAATCAATACAGATAAGTGTGCAAATTATAACCCTCAGATCTCAAAATTGTGGAGCCAATCTGATGAACTGGCAACCTGCTGCAGTCAGATGAATACTGTATGAGAAGCAGAGTCATGACTTCACTTACCTTCCACCCTGGGTACCACTGGTCAGCAGATCAGACACACTGACATCCAGGAGCTCCAGCAGCAGACAGCGGGTGGCAACACCCATACAGCTGTGGTTGGTGAACACCCCGTAAAGTGTGACTGAGAGGAGAACAGAGCCGTCAGTGCAAACAGATAGACCTGATGCATGTTTTCATGTAAAACAACCCTCTTACTGGACAGGACCATTTACAACAGGATAATGATAGTTCAATGTTTCAACAATAGGTCTTTAGAGTTTAGACCTTACAACTGTCAGCCAAAGCAGAACAACAGTGTGACACATGTAATAGCCTGATGTTACACTGAGTTCAGATCCTGTCATGTGATATCATGTGCCGAATTAAAAAGCCAGACCATAACTATTAGTGAATGGTCTTGCTGTATGTTCTACCAGGTGTATTCCACAGATGACAAGCACGTTTCTATTAAATTGATAGATGTTTTAATAGAATGTGGCCTTTTTGCTCTATGTAAAAGACACATAAGGGTTAAAAACAGTAGCAGTATTCTAACCCCTGCGATATTCTAGTAAAAATAATGGTGTTACCTATGTTTTATGTCCCTGGATATCTTCCAGCACGGACCTCTCCTTGTGATACCCGTAGTCTCCTCCCCGAGTGTCGGCCTGAAACTCCTTGACAGCGGCGGTTGTGCTGGCTCTGCCCGAGCTGACCTGGTATACCGAGGCCGAGACTCCTTGGCCGAGCCGGGACTGGACGGTCCACAACTCCCCAAAGATCTCGAAAAGCACCGGCTTCATACCCTGGTCGAAACTGCCCTGCGCGGGCTTGTTGCTGTCGGGACGCGGTGCGTGCGCCTTTGCGCTGGGCTCTGCGGGGCCGCAGTGAGCCATGGGCAGGCGGCGGACAGGAGAGCAGCCGGGCGGCTAGTTGATAGGTGGGAGCAGCTGCAGGAGCATTGCGAACGACCCGGGTTCTGTCAGCGCCACATAAAACTACCAGGACGTGTCAACGACAGCTCGCACACAATTCAGCTACACCCGCAACCTTGTTAAAGCTGAGAACAGAGCGACACCTGGGCATAATAAAGTACTGTCTGCTAACCGAGACTGTTAACATTAATGTATGCTAGACAGGTGACACAAAGTTAGCTAATTTAGTTGCTACACATGCTAAACTGACAAACAAAACATTTATCTAACGCGCAGGAAAATACTTCCCCCATAATACGGAATCGTATCGAATATAATAACTTAAAAGTGTGTCAGTTTTACCTGGAGAAAAGTTTTGCCTAAATTGTGGTAACTCAGGTTGTTGATATTAATCTTAGTTCCGGTTCTACACTACCTCCTGCAGGTTTTGGTGCATCTTTCCGGCAGCCTGCCCCCTGTCGATGAGGCGTGTCACTACACTACATTTACAATTCATTGCATGCCATTTTTCCTATTCCATTTCAGGTGAGATTAACCACTGTCTTCTATTTATATCACGCTGCTTTCAGTTGTTGTTTTACCTAAAGGATCAAACTATTGTATAGTGTTTTTTAACATAGAGTAGGTGAGGACTAACGATACAGCACAATCAATGGAAGATAACTGTCTGCTCCATATATTTGTTATCTTTTTTACTTGTTGATGCCATTTTATTCTATTTCTGAAATATATTGGACTGTTTATTGCTGTGTCTTAGTTTCTCTTATGTACATTACCTTGTGTTTGTTATGCTGCTGCAACGCAAACATCCATAAAGTACCTATCTACAATATATATATACCTAAAAGCTTTCACCCCTAAAACAGTCTTAGCACTTGGCACATTTAACAAAACCACAGCATGAGATCTCAGGCAATAGCTACTTTCAATTTGCCGTGTGATCAGAGAGCAGATGCAACATGGTAGTTTACCTAACATGGCTTTGTAGATGAACATGTACCAGTGACTGAGCCTCCGTACAGTTATGGCGCATTTCCACCATGGCGCGGAGCGTGGTTTAAGCGTGGTTTAAGCGTGCCGTGTCGTGCCGGGCCCTTTTTGGTTACGTTTCCACTATGCCTAGTTCCGGCCCGGGGCTACTTTTTCACCTTTCTTCTGGCCCGACAAAATCGTGGTTCTATCGGGGCCAACAAACAGGGCTGAGTCGGGCTGATTTTGCTAAACTAGAGAGAGAATCGCTGGCAAGGGGGCTACAACTACAACAAGATGAACATATTTGACCGTGATTTAATTGTAATACACGTTTCAAAATGATGCCTGTAATGTTGTGACATAGCCTACTCTTTGTTCCGGAGTTGTGGACACTGGTGACTCTGGTGCGACAGTGAACATATTAGATGATGTTTCCTATGAAGAGCTAAAAGCCAGTTGTGAACTGCAACCATCTGCTGCCAAGATCTATCCTTATGGCTCATCCACTATGGGCTCAGAACAGTCTCATAATACACACATGCACACAGAAGGATTCACACTTGTATTTCCGGATCCATACTTGTGTTTTTCAATGCACACACAAATGTATTCCGTTTCATATACATGTAAATAAAATCCAAATACAGAAAAAAGTTTTACATATGTATTTTTGATCCTCACTTATTAGTTTCCCGTTTAAAACCTCTGCACCTGCAAACACAAACAGCTTTCTGTGCACGGATCGCTTTGCATTCGTGTGTGGGTTTTTTGAGACTCCCCTGACGGTCAGCCGATTCGTACTTGTAATTTTTTCTATCTATAGCCAATCAGATGTCTCCTTCATTCTAAGCCAATCACATGAGCGCGCCCGCACGAGGGTAAGATTACTTCATATACGCATTTTGCGCAGTCCGGTCAGCTCGCTAAACAGAGGGCGGAGCATCAGGTGATCATGCAGAGCAGCTTGTCTCCATCAGACTCAGCAGCTGATCTGATCTCTCTCTTGCGTCCTGTTACACTTCACTCGCGTTTATGTCCATATCGATCAGATCCAGCTCTCCTGATCGGCCTTTATAGAGAGCACCGATCAAACTATTAAGAGTGAATATCGGCCGATAATGTCCGGCGGGGCTCCCCCCCGTTAACAGTTCACTGTCTAGCACTGGCTTCGTAGTGCACTGATCGATTAGGCTAAGCTAACCTGTAGCTGCTCCCTCCACACTCACAACAACTTCATACAGACATAAATAAAGCAGCTGTATTCGCCATACAGGAAACACACATTTAAAACGGGTTTGCCTGTCGTTTTTGTGTACACAAGCATTCATAAATGGTTCGGAAAGTGGCGCTGTACCTTAATAATATAAAGGCTTGTATTTGCGTGCATTTCCTGTTCGGAAAGTGGCGCTGTACTGAGAGTGGAGGGTGTCCTGAGATTAGCGCCTGCAGGCAGGCTCCATGGAGCTATCAGCTCCGGACTGCGCAAAATGCGTACATGAAGCGCTACGTCATGAACGCAAGAAATCTACCCTCGTGGGGGCGCGCTCATGTGATTGGCTTAGAATTGAGGAGACATCTGATTGGCTATAGATAGAAATAATTACAAGTACGAATCGGCTGACCGTCAGGGGAGTCTCAAAAAACCCACACACGAATGCACAGCGATCCGTGCACAAAAAGCTGTTTGTGTTTGCAGGTTCAGAGGTTTTAAACGGAAAACAAATATGTGAGGATCAAAAATACACATATAAAACTTTTTTCTGTATTTGGATTTTATTTACATGTATATGAAACGGAATACATTTGTGTGTGCATTGAAAAACACAAGTGTGGATCCGGAAATACAAGTTTGAATCCTTTTGCGGATCATGAAATACAAGTGTGAATCCTTCTGTGCGCATGTGTGTATTATGAGACTGTTCTGAGCCCATACATCCACTGCTCTTCCTTTGAGAGGAACATTTAAAGCTGCAGTCCATTCAACTACTTCAACAGTGCAGCTACATTCTATATGATACAGGGTGACCATGGTTCACTGCTGAGTCGAAAGACAGCAACATAACTAGGACTTCTGAAAGTTGTAAACTCTATGTCCACAGAAATGCCTATTTCATCCCCAAACCAGCTCCTCCATGAGTACCAAGACATATTTCAAGGCATAGGAAAACTCAAAGATTTTCAAGTGAAGCTACACATTGATGAGTCAGTGCAACCTGTGACACAGCCACACAGGAGGATTCATTTCCACATGAGAAAAAGAGTAGAATCAGAATTAAACCAGCTACAGGAAAAAGGAGTCATCAAGAGAATCAGCGGCCCAATGCCATGGGTGTCTCCGATAGTTGCTACACCAAAACCAAAGAACCCTGACAAAGTTTGCATCTGTGTGGATATGCGCCTGCCGAACACAGCAATACAGCGAGAGCGCCACACATCACACCAACTGTAGATGACCTCATCCACAACCTGAATGGAGCTGTAGTATTCTCCAAGCTGGATCTGAATGCTGGATACCATCAACTTGAGCTACATCCAGATTCAAGGTATATCACCACCTTCACTACACACACTGGCCTCTGGAGGTACACTAGACTGAACTTTGGCATTAACTCTGCCGCTGAAGTGTTCCAAAATGTCATTCAAGGAGTGCTACATGGCATTCCCAACATCAGGAACATGAGTGATGACATCATTGTGTATGGGAAAACACAAGAGCACAACAGTAGCCTCAAAGCTGTTTTTCAGAGACTGAGGGAGAAAAATATCACACTCAATGCTGATAAATATGAATACAGTAAACCAGAGCTTGAGTTCTTTGGCTATATTTTTTCTGCAAAAGGCATATCTGCAGATCCTAAAAAGATCATTGCCATCAATAACCTTCCTCCACCCCAAAATGCATCAGAGGTTCGCAGTCTGCTCGCTCGGGATGATAACATACTGCTCACGTTTCATTCACGACTATGCCACGATCTCTGAACCTTTACGTCAACTAACAAAAAAAGACACTACTTGGTCATGGGGACCACAACAACAGTCGGCAATGGAGAGGCTAAAACCAGAGCTGATGGAAAACACTACAATGGCTTACTTTGACCCAAGGAAGAAATCCAAACTACTGGTTGATGCCAGCCCTGTTGGTCTAGGTGCCATACTCAGCCAGCACAGCCCTGACAAAGAGGGTAATGACCACATTGTTGCATATGCCAGCCGAGCACTCACACCAGTGGAACAGCGCTATTCTCAAACAGAGAGAAGCTCTGGCAATCCTCTGGGCATGTGAGCACTTCCACCTATATCTCTATGGGTCACACTTCACTGTCATCACAGATCACAAACCGCTTGAACTGATCTTCAACAACCCAAAAGCCACACCCCCAGCTCGGTTAGAACGCTGGCGGCTAAGACTACAACCATACAGCTACATTATCAAGTACAAAGCTGGAAAAGATAACCCTGCCGACATCCTATTGAGGGAAACATACCAAGCAGATCATCTTGCATGGCTGAGGAATATGTCAACTTTGTCATTGACAATGTTGTTCCAAAGGTAATGACACTTGAAGAAATTCAAACAGAAACAAAGAATGATCCTACATTATGTAAAGTGATGCATTTTTTTGAATGCAGGACACTGGAGACATGCACCACAGGACTCAGACTACACTGATTATCCAATGCTGAAAGCACTCTACCGCCTACGAAACGAACTGACAGTCAACGCTGGAGAGAATGTCATTCTTAGAGGAACACGACTTGTGCTACCTACCGCTCTCCAACGTAAGGCAATAAGCCTAGCCCATGATGGTCATCTTGGCATTGTTAAGACCAAACAACTGGTAAGAGAAAAGGTATGGTTTCCAGGCATAGATAAAATGGTGGAAAAGATGATAAAACACTGCATACCATGTCAAGCAGCAACCTCCCAGAATCACATGGAACCACTTAATATGTCTGAACTTCCCAAAGGTCCATGGCAAAATGTTTCTATTGACTTTACAGGACCTTTCCCATCAGGTGATTACCTGCTTGTGGTTATTGATGAGTATTCCAGGTTCCCCGAAGTTGAGATACTAAAGTCCACAGCAGCCACTACAGTGATTCCCAAACTGGACAGAATCTTCTCATCCATTACATTACATTACATGCCATTGCATTTAGCTGAGGCTTTTATCCAAAGCGACTTACAATAAGTGCGTTCGACCAACAAGATACAAACTTGAAGAAAACAGAATCATATAAGTACATCAGGTTTCATAGAGCTAAAACATTTCAAGTGCTACTCAACTGGCTTTAGATAAGCCAGTCCTTTATTAGTATATAAGTGCTTTGTTAGTAATTCTATTGCTCGAAGTGGAGTCGAAAGAGATTAGTTTTCAGTCTGCGCCGGAAGATGTGTATGCTATCTGCTGTCCTGATTTCAATGGGGAGCTCATT